CCCTCCATTCCTCCCTATTTACAAAGATTTTATATTTTTTAATATTTACTGTCACAGAAAAATGCTCACAGAATATTAATATGTGATAGATAATTAGAAAACAGCTTATACAGTATGAGCTCATTCCTAAATTAATTATCTGTGTAGGTATTACATAAATTTTTTAAACATAAAAGGAAGTACACCTTAGTACCTAGTACTTAGTAGTTGGAATAGATATAATTATCATTTTTATACTCTTTGTTTATCCAGACTTTATTTTTCTGCAATAGAAAAGGTATATTTTGTGTTTTTTACATTTGTAATATCACTAGTGAAAAAGCAATTTAAAAAACAATACATAAAATATGTTTCCATTGACATTTAAATTAAATATCTAGTTGGGAAAAATAGACATAGAATAATTTACAGTTTATATCAGGAAAACAGGATTTGGTTACACTTTTTTTAGAACTGCCAGAGAAAACAAATCAAAGAATTTCCATTTGGGGATAAAGGGAAAGGGAAGTTGTTTTTGACTACCTATAATTGAAATTCAACAATGTATGTACAATGTGTTCCTTTTAGATTTAGCTATATTATTTTCTTCCTTTCACTTGACCATATTTTCTCACATTCCTATAGTACTTAAGTACCATTTTCATGGTTTTAAAAAGATGTAGTTTCAGATTTGGGTTCCTCCAGAGATAGACACATTATATGTGGGATCCAAAATGTCCCCCAAAGCCTCACTGTCTTGAAGACTTGGTTACCAGCTGATGGAATCTAAGGAACTGAATGGATCATGAGGGCTCTAACTTCATCAAGTGGATTGACCTATTGATGAACTCATAGCTCAACTAGCTTATCAGGACGTGGGGCCTGAATGAATGAGGTGGGTCACTGCAAACATGTCTTTCTAGGCTATCCCTGGCCCTTTTCTCTCAGCTTTTCCCCTTTCTGCTTGCTGGCTACCATGAGGTGAGCAGCTCTCCCTCATCACATCCTTCTACCATGATATTGCTGCCTTCAAGCCAGCTGGCCAGGGACTAAAGCCTCTGAAACCATGAGCCAAACTATACTGCTCCTCCTTTAACTTGTATATGTCAGGTATTTTGTCCCAGCAACAGAAAAGTAACCAATACAGACACCTAGACAAGAATTTAAATGACAGTCGGTAATATAGAAGGTGACCCCAGGAGACATTGGTAGGGGAACGGGAAAGGAAACCAAATCTGTAAGAAGTACCTTATCAGCCACGTTGTCACCCTAAATGACTGGACCTTGATCCACTAGGGAATCCTGGGAAACAACATACAAGTCCTTAGAGATATCCTCTGAGAAGGGTGAAGGGCCTGGGGAACCCAGGCTCCCACTCGCATCCTTTACTGTGATGGCTGCATCCAGAGGGTGTTTACGCCCTGGCACCTACTGCCTACTCATCTGCTGCCAAGCAGGCTCTACTAATAGAGAGAGCCCTCTGAGAGCCTCCATGTTTGTGACAGAGGCCCAAGTGTTGGCAATGCCTGGGCAGGTGAATGTCTGCAGGATATAGCAGCTCACCAACACCACCTGCTACATTTGAAATTTTTAGTTGTTATTCTGGGATTTACATAAAACTATCTGATTCTAGCATTGTCCTTATCAAAAGACATAGTTATCATATACTTAAACAGAAAGTAGAGGTGAGACTGCCTTGCACACCAGTTTTCAGATGTCATGCTCCATATTTTACTGGTTCCAATGAAGTCAGAATATGAGAGGGACAGTGATGACTGCTCATCACAGAAGCATCATAAGGCAAACTCCAAAGTCAGCATTAAGGAAGGCTTGGAGAAATGAGCAAACATGCTGAAAAGTAATATATGAGAGGCCACTCAAGGCTTGATAAGGCTGATGTGAATAATATTTCTTAAATGCTCATGTTACAAAAACTTACAGACGAGGATTTAGCTCAGTGACACCCCACCTGCCGGGCAAGCACAAGGTCATGAGTTCAATTCCCGATACCAAAAAGACAAAACAACAACAACAAAAAATTTACACTATAATAAAATGAATTTATCATCATGCTGATATACTTTAATATATCAAACTCCAACTTTAAGGTGCTACTTGAAGAGCCAATTCTTTCTTTTCTTTTTTTTTTCTTTTCTTTTTTTTTTTTTTTGATGCCAGGGATCTTTCTTAAACAGCATTAAGAAAATACTAGTAGCTGCCTCTGGTGGAACTTCATGATTCTTCTCAGAACAACAATTGTCTCTCCTTTGGCTTCATTCTTTTTTTTTTTTTTTTTTTGGTACCAGGGATCGAACTCAGGTCCTTGCACTTGTAAGGCAGGCAATGGAACCACTGAGCTAAATCCCTGGCCCTGGTTTCATTCTTAAACTGCAGTAAGAGTATACCCTTCACAATGTGAGGACATCAAAATTGGCATCACAATTTTTCTGAATAAATGATGCTATAACTACAAGTGTGGAATATTATCAGCTGTTAAGAAGGATGCATTCTTTATGAATGTGAGGCTCTAGGTCAGGACAAGTCCTGTAACAATAAAAGCTAACACTGAAAAGAGCACTTATCATGTGGCTGGCACTAATCTAAATACTTTACAAATATTAAGTTATTATCTCCTCAAGAAAACTCACAAGGTGGACACTAATATTTTGACCATTTTACAGATAAGAAAACTCAGATACTGAAGGGTTAACCCAAGGTCATACATCTCATCGGTGGAAATCCCATAGCTGAGTCTAAAGTCAGCACTCTTGACCACTGAATAACATAGAGGTATGTGCACAATATAACCCTTTCTTTATTTTTAAGGTTCGTGTAAGGGTGAAAATACTCATATCCACTTGGATTAGCATAGAGAACAGTGTAGGAGACACACTGGAGCATCCATAACAGCTGCTTCCAGAAGCAGAGCAGAGGAGGATGGGAGACTGGGGCAAACACCAAGTTACTCTCTATCTATGATTCTTTCTTTTTTTTTTTTTTTTAACTGATAAACTCATATTGCTTGATTTTTAGAAGTATCAAAATAACTATTTTAAAAAGAAAGAAAAAATGTCACAGAATCCTTGAGAGAGGCTCAAGGGGGACCTCAGTAACATGTCTGACTTTCTGCAATGTCCAACCCCTCCTCCCAGTTCTTGTAAAAAATGGACTAGGTCTAAATCTGACTAGAATCGGGAGTGGTGGCACACACCTGTAATCTCAGCACTCTAGGAGGTGAGGCAGAAGGATTTCAAGTTTAAGCCCACCGTGCACAACTTTGTGACTTACTGAGACTCTGTCTCAAAATAAGAAATGAAAAAGCGTTGGGGATGTAGCTCAGTGTAAAGGCCCTGAGTTTGATCCCTGGTACCACAAAAATAAATAAATAAATCTGGCTAAAACAGATAGACCTGGGGGTTACACAGAACTGAACATTCCAGGGCTGAAAGGTGGAATGTTTGCATGTTTGCCTATTTGTGCATACAGTGGGGAGAACAGGGGGAGACATGTTTGAATGTGTGTATTGGCTTAAAATTCTGTTTTATGAAATGCACTCTTCTGCTTTGATCAAGATTGTTATCATTTAACCACTGTGACCATTGTGCAACAAATGTGACGACACTACAGAGGTCTCTTGGGTAACCAGCAGAGACACCTGAATCAAACTCTAAACAAAATTCCTCATTCCCAGCAACTACCAACTATGTAAAAGTTCTCCCCAAAGAGAAATTTGAAGTGACCATTTCTATAAAGGCTTCATTCACCACAAGCTATCTAATTATCTTCTTTCCAAACAAGTGTTCAAGAATGTTCAGGAACCTTCTACTTAAAGGCCAAATTCTAATGGGGTACTGCATCACAACCCTGAGAATCAACAAATAAGAACTTGAAGGACAGTTAAAGTGTATGTGCACAAAACACCTAAACTATTGGCAGCAGGATGGACAGACAGACCAGGAAATAATAGCAGCCAACATTTACCCAAAGCCTGTGCAACAATTAATCCTGATATGTCAGCTTCAGTGGATTAAGAAACACCTAGAAAAAAAAAAAGAAAAAAAGAAACACCTAGCAGCCAGGGATTTAGCTCAGTGGTGCCACCGCCTGCCTTGCAAGCACAAGGTCCCAAGTTCGATCCCCAGTACCAAAAAAAAAGAAACACCTAGCAGATTAGTGGAGCACACTCCTGTGTGAGGGTGGGTTATGGAAGTGTGCCCTTTGTACTCTGTATGGTCCCTCAATTGTTCCTCTCAGATTTCCTGGCCTCCATGAACTAAGCAGCTTTGCTCTACCCTTCCACCATGATGTCTCTGCCTTGGAGCTAGCCAATCATGGACGAGAACTAAGAGCAAATTAACCCCCCTCCAAATTGTGGGTGCTATATATCATGTCTCAGCAAAAAGAAAGCCGACAAATACAGCCTGCTATAGGCAAATCAATCACTATGCCAAGCATTTTGATTGAATCTCCCCATTTAATCCTCATGGTAACTCTGTGAGAAGATCATTATTATTATGCCCATTTTATAGAGGAGGAAACTGAGGTCTAGAGAATTAGATAACTTTTGCTAAGTGATACAGATAATAAGTACTACAGCTAGGTTGTGAACTCAGGTGGTGAAGCTTGGGACCCAGGAGTTGAATTTCTCTTAACACCCTCCTTCAGTGGACCTATAAATGATTCAGACTGACTACAGAGCTACTTCCATATGAGGAGTCACCGCAGGATAGTGCAGTGTCTTCGACACAGACTCTGAGGCCACATTGCCTTGGTTCAAACCCCTGCCATGCCACAGCTAAGCTGTATTAGCCTTGAGCAAACTATTCGACCTTTCTAGGTGTTCATCACTTGTAAAATGAGATTACTGATAGTAGTATCAATCTTCCAAGTTTCTAGTGAGGGCTTAAAAAGTTAATATATGCAAAATTTAAATTAAATGAGGTAATAATGTAAAGTCATATATATAAAGATTGTCTCTGCACATAGCAAACATTCAGTAAATGTTAGCTAGTGCTGTTTCAGTAAAGCAAAAGATAGTCTGAGAAACATCACAGGTTTCCCTTTGGAGTAACGTATTCTCCACTTTCTGTGTTAATGGTGATACAGAATCCTCCTGTTTTAGCCTCCAGAGTAGCTAGAGTTACAAGTTTGTACCACCTCTCCCAGCTGCTCAGAAGCTTTTAAGATGCTAAACCAATCTTAGGTTTGACACTACTGTGCAAATTGGAGAAGGTTGCAAATAAACACAATATGAAGTGAAGTCTTTAGTTTCAGACCTTCTCTATTCTGCAAAGCTGTATGACATGACTTACTTGGAGAATCTGGATTTTGTGGATAGACAGACTTCTCAAGGGACTCAGATTTCTTTTGCTCCATTTTCTCTGTGGCTGGACCCAGTGTCTCTTCCTTTATTTCTCTTTGCTCATTCCATTCCTCATTTTTAATCTTCTTGGTATGGGTCTGGTCAGATTCTTCCAGCATCAGGTCTTTCTTATCTCTGACAGCCCAGTGCATTGACTAATTTAAAGTAAACACACAAATATTAAACCAAACTGTATGGTTTCTACATTTAAAGTTCAATATGTATAACACCTAATATAACATCATAGTGCTAAATATAATATTGGACTTGACTATTAACCAGATATTCATCAATTAATCCAGATATTGATTAATCCAAAAATTAACTGATTAATTAATCATCACTAATTTGGAAAACTAATGTCATATCATGGTACAGACCAAAAAGGCAAGCACTAGAGAGATTCAAAAAATGAGGTGGTTCCTCAGAAAGCTAAACACAGGGCCAGGGATTTAGCTCAGTGGCACAGCACCTGCCTGGCAAGCACAAGGTCCTGAGTTTGACCCCCAGTACCAAAAAAAAAGAAAGAAAGAAAGAAAGAAAGAAAGAAAGAAAGAAAGAAAGAAAGAAAGAAAGAAAGCTAAACACAGAATCGTTGTATGACCCAGCAATTCCATTTATAGATATATACCCAAAATAACTGAAAACGGGTCTTCAAAGAAAAACTTGTACACAAATTTTCATAGGGGCACTGTTCAAAAGCCAAAAGGAGAAACAACCCAAACATTCATCAACTAATGAACAGATAACAAAAATGTGCTTAAAGAAAAAGAAAACAGGCATGGTGGTGCATGCCTGTAACCCAGGACTCTGAGTGGCTGAGGCAGGAGAATTATAAGTTCAAGCACAGCCTTGGCAAGTCAGTGATGTAGCATGACCTTGTTTCAAAATAAAAAAGTAAAAATGACTGGGCATATAGCTCAATGCAGAGGTCCTGGGTTTAATCCCAGTACCACAAAAAATGTGACATATACATATATGTGTGTGTACAATGAAACATTATTTATTCATAAAAATCAATGAGGTACTGATACATGCTACAACTTGGATGAGCCCTGAAAACATACTAAGTGAAAAAAGCCAGATCAAAAACGGTCACATATTTCATTATTTCACCTAATAAAATATCCATAATAGACAATCCATAGAGATAGAAAACAATTAGTTGTAATCAGGGGTTAGGGGAAAAGGAAATAGGGAATGATTGTTAATGGATTTCTTTTTGGAGTGATGAAAAGTTCTGTTATAGAAAGTAGCAATAGATGAGTAATATTGTGAATATAGTTAATACTGGTGAATTGTGTACTTCAGAAGGGTTAGAATGGTGAATTTTATTTTATGTGTATTTTACTACAAAAAAATTAAATAAGGCTGTGTATGCTTTGATCCTTGTCAGAGATTAAACTACTATTATAATTATCACTACTGTAACTATTATAATTACTTACTATGAATAGTGGCCCTAATTTTAAATGGATTCACTTTTGGTGAATTTTTTCAATCCAGTTATCCTCAGATAACAAAAATTTTCTAAATATTGCATTTCCCTTTGTTCCCTTAAAAGGATAATGTAACAGTGTATGTGTATATTATATGGAGGATTTCTAAAGAGAAACACAAGAGAGGGAAGTAGACATGGGGGTTGGAATAAAGATAATTTTTTTTTTTGGTACAGGGATCGAACTCAGAAACTTGCACTTGCAAGGCAGGCGGTGGCACCACTGAGCTAAATCTCCAGCCCTAGATTCATTTTTATTACGTATCTTATTGTATTGGTTTATTACATATCTTATTGTATTTGGTTTTTTCACAATAGTGTGTTAATTCTATTACATCTTCATTTTTTTTTTTGGTACCAGGGATCGAACTCAGGTCCTTGTGCTTACAGGGCAGGAGGCAGAACCACTGAGCTAAATTCCCAGCCCAATTCTATTACATCTTTATAATTTAAAAAATCAAGATCTATACATCAATGGTATTGGTCATTATCTGTGGACTTCTGGTATAACTTTAATATTTACACAAAAGGAACCAAGTCCTTGAAAGCTGTCCCTAGAAACCTGATATCCAAGAACTGTGTATAAGATGATTAGTGGTGATTCTTTGCCTGGTGATTTAATTGTCCACGTAACTCTGGCTGCTTATGGCAGGGTAATGAGGGAGAGGGGTCAGAAAGAAATGGGTCTTTGAATACAAAAGTTGCTAGGACTACTAGATACTGGGAAACAAAGTTACAAGACAGAGGTACTTTGTAAATACCCATTTATTTGTTTGTTTGTTTGTTTGTTTGTTTTTGGTACCGGGGATCAAACTCAGGACCTTTCACTTTTCAGGCAGCCAGCAGAACCACTGAGTTAAATCCCCCGCCCTGTATATACCCTTTTGTATCTTTGTATCTTTTTCACTTTTTGTCTTGATGTGTGTTTCCCATTAAAATTTTTAAATGGGAGGGGGTGTGCTAGGAAAATGACTCAGCGATAGAGCATTTGCCTGGTCTGCATGAGGCTCTGGGTTCAATCCTCACCATTGGGGGAAAAAAAGTTGTGGATGGATGGATGAGTGAGATGGATGGATGGATGGATGGATGGATGGACACAGTAATATAAAGACAAAGATATTACAAGGTTTTTAGGTCAAGAATATTTCAAGTAGAATGGCCCTGGAATAAACCAAAATAGTGAACATAACTGATTCTTGAAACCTCATTTTAATGTTGTGGGAGGCTATTCCTGAAGTACTAACAGTGTGATACTACTTGTTAAGAAAAACCCAAGGGAAATCATATATCACATGTTTGAGAAGTTTAAAGCCCAGAGTAAAAAAATTTTTTCTGATATCTGAAGTATTGCTTTTCTGTGCTGCAGAGAGAGAGAGACAGAGAAAGGATACCAAAACAAAACACTGATTTTCTAAAGTCCAAAGCTTACTGAATAAGCTCAGAAATTGTGACATTTAAAAACTGTGCCAAGCTAAAACTTGGAAACAACACAAATGCCCGTGAACTGGAGACTAGATCAAGAAAATGTGGTTTTTTTATAAAATGGAGTACTACTCAGCCATCAAGAATGAGAAATTAGAGACATGTATTGCTAAATGGATGCACATTGAGGCGATGCTCTTAAGTGAAATAAACAGGACACATGTGTAAATACCAAATAGTTTCTCTAGTGTGAGAAACTAAAAGTGTAAATAAGGACTAAAAGGTATAATAGGGAATGTGAAATAGGAAGAAAAGGGACAAAGGGGAGGGGGAAGTAGGAGGGGTAGGGGAAAGGAAAGAAAGGAATGGAATTAATGTGTGAAAACGAAAAAATGGAAACAAAGTCTTTGTAAATAGGGAGGGATGGAGGGGTTGAAGGGAGGGCAGAGGAAGGGGGAAAAAATAAGAACCAAGAGAGTATGTAAAGGTGCATATCTCCAATGATGAATGTCATTATGTTGTACACCTAAAATGTGCCAATAAAAGGAAATTAAAAAAAAAAACTGTGCCACGGACTCCAGGAGGAGCTGCCATCTCTGCTACCCATGTGCCCCATGACTTAAGGGCACTTCACTTTTCATCTCAGCACATTTCTTTGCTGAAAAGTCTGAACCATCTTATAATATAGAGTAGAAGAGGCACCACAATTTCTTACCATCTGTCTTAGGAACACTAGCATTGGCCTCACAAGCAGGACCAAGGACCTCACCAAGAAGAAAGGGAAAGCAGGAAGGGGTGAGAGGCCTTCTGAGAATCTTTTAAATAAATTTGTTCAGCATGATCTTTTAATAAGATATACTGAGATAGATGAGGGCTCAGTGGTACAGAGTTTGCCTAACAAGCCTGGGCCCTGGGTTCAATTCCCTGAGAAAGAAATAAAGAAAGAGAGAGACAGAGACAGAGGGACAGAAAGAGAGAGACAGAGAGAGAGAGAGAGAAAAGAAAGAAGTTTCAAAATAGATATATATGTAAATATATGCATATAGTATGGATATAGATACAAATATACACATATGGACTGGAAAACAATGTAGCCCTTTATACATCCTAAAACATAAGCATATCCAAGGCCTCTGCTCTAATCCAATCGAAGAAGTCACTTAATTGTGCCTTCAACTTTTTTCCCAACTACAAAGAAGCATCATCCTGAATGCTTTCCCCAAATACATCCAATCCACAGTGATCAAGCCAATTACCCCAATATCTAAGAACTACTCTGTTAAGCACTTATTCTGTGTAATCAGCTCTCAGACAATGGTGGCCGGGGTGGGGGCACTAAAAGGAAGTGCAAGATAATGTTAACCATAGTTATGCCTACCACAAAATTATTTTATTATCACATTTTCCAAGTTTCCTATGAGAAGATTATTTATTCTTTAACTTTATAGTTTTATTAGTACATATTTGCCATACATATTGATCACATTCATCCTAGGGAATTTATACCTGTACATGATATAACTTGATTCCTTTTTTTCCTCCCCTCCCTTCAATTGAGATTATTTATGCATATATGTACACAACTAGAAAAAATAGCTTTTAAAAATGAGATGAGGCTATAATTGCAAATATATATATATATGAGTGCTACCAATATGCATGCTGGGATGGTTACAAAGTAAACACTTCACAGCCATTTGCGAAACTGTAAATGCAGGTGTTGTGCATTTCTCTGTAGGTTCTATTTCTAAATAAGAATGTTCATTTTAAAAAGAGGCAATGGCCTCAACCAATGTAAAAAAATAATCTGGCTTTTGTTTGGATGGGCTTGCTGTTGTATTTTGGTTTTCTGCATGTGCATGGAATAGAAAAGACTGGCCAGTGGCTTCCTCTGGAGAGGGAGAAGGATATTAGGAAGGTTAATGAAAACAAAGAGTAAAAAAAACTCAATAATTTAGGGCCCAGAAAGCTGAAAATGTGAACTGTAAGCATCACAAGTTGGCCAAGTGGCCTTACATGATATTTCTCTCCTGAAATCAAAGTGCTATGGTCTGCCTTAGACAAGCAATGAGGATTAATGACTCACAATAAATGGTTTGAAAGCCCCCAGTGAAAAGATAGTCTGAGGTGAGTAAATCAGAATAAAATATTTTATCGTCAGACTTCTGTATCTGCTGATCCCAGTTACGCAAATATGCAGGAGAAAAATCCAAACTGTACCTAACCTCATATACA